TTCCTCTGCCCTGACTAAACTGTTTCCCAGCACCTCAATACCATCTAGCAATTACAGCCATGTTGCATCACACATCATGCAAACTTTGCACAATATTGCTCACTACTTCACATGCCTTAACAATTTTTTTGGTACTCCTCTTCATACTAGTACCTAGTGCTCATGGCACCCTGAATTCATTTATCTTTGCACATCTCTCTGGAATAAGGCACATCTCAAAGATGAGGCAATATGGCACCGAAAACAAGACCGCAGTTGTCAAATGCCCACAGATTTGGGACAACCACTCTAAGAAACATACAGCTACATCTTTCAAGGCATTGAAGGGCTAAAGACATTGATAGGGACCCAGTGGGATGTTCTAAAGACCATAGGTGTCCGAAAGGATTGAGGCACATAGATGTTGTGAAAATCTATTCAGACAGACATCTGCATCTTCAGACAGTTCACTACTTTTAGATCCTTTGAACCTGATTTTTCAGCAAGCCTAGCATTTTATATGCTCAAAGTTCAGAGCTGTGCCCATAGACATGCTCAGCCATTCTCTGGTTCAGTGTACGCTGGACAGCATCCTACTCAGACCAGGTGTTTGAGGAGCAGCAAGGACCTATGAAAGGTGGAAGGAGGGAACAAGGGGGACAGGGCACTGGGAGGCAAGTCCAGACTGCAGACGTAGGGGCTCCTGGGGGATGTGAGGGATTAAAGGGGTGGGAGGTGGAGGGTACTGGATGGCAGCTCCTCATACATGTTTAGTAGAGAGGAACAGGAATGCTCTCTGAGGATCCCCAGGGAAAACCATTTGATCATCCTTGCCAACTCCTGTGCAGGGTTCTGAGCCCTGCAAGAGAGGTCCTGAAATGAAAATGTTTCTGAAGCTGGGCATGTGGATAGAGCTGTGTGAGAGAAATCTGGCTCTGGACTCAGCAGCAAAGCTTCCCTAACGCCCAGTGGCCTTGGGATCCTTTTCTCCTTGCAATCTGGGTGCAGGGCTAGGGGAAAGGGAAAGCTGGGGAAGCACTACTAGGAGCTCCAGGCAGGGACAAGCCCCAGGAAGGAGGGAGTGATGGCTATTTAAAATAAAAGCTCATTACTTTTAGCTGTGGGACTACAAGTGGAAGGATATTTCTTTAAAAATATATTTACTGTAATTTTTTGGATAATTAATATTTTTTCTTCAGAAAAAAAGCAGTAGTGCTGGCCTATATTAGCAGGTGCATCACTGGGAAGTCAAAGTGATTCTTCTACTTTATTTGGCACTGGGGAGGCTTCACCTGAAGTACTGACTCCAGTTTTGGGTGCCACACTTCCAATAAAACAAATTAGAACAAGTCCAATGGACAGCAACAAAATGATTAGAGGAAATAATCTAGGAAACAAGACTTCCGTGAAAAGTGGAAGAACTGGGATTATTTAGTGTGAAGAAGAAAAGACTTTGGGGAGGATTTAGGAACAGTTTTTGAATACAAAAAAGTGCAGAAAAGAAACATAGGAACATTGGACTGGAGTCCAGTCCAGTGCAGCCACAGGTTATCATCAATCCAAGGGATTCCCAAAATTGCTTCTTTGAACCCTCACCTATAACTACAAGAATTAATGTTTGAAGCACTATTAACACCCCATAGCCTGGCACAGATGAAAAACCTGGGAAGCAAGGGCATTTCCAATGCTCTGCCACTGCAATAACAGGGAAGCAGTTAAGTAATATGATGTGAATCAATTGTTTTCTGTGTTCTCAGAAGACAGGACAAGAAGTCATGGCTTAAAGTGCAGCAAGGGAGATTTAGGATAGATATGAGGGAGGACTTTTTCACCCTGAGGGTGATTGAGCATTGGAACAGATTACCTAAAAAGGTTGTGGAATCTCTAATCAATGGAAATTTTGAAATGCAGGTTAGACAAACATTTGTTTGGAGTGGTTCAGACACAGATAATACTGCTTTGAGGAGGATAGGTTACATCCTATGACCCTTCCAGTACTGTTTTTGTTTTGGTTCTGTTTAATTTATTTACAATGCTTTAAACATATTTTTGAAATGCTTTCAACATGTGAAAACTGAGCATTTTTTAAAGGATTTAAGGTTTCTAAATATAAACACTGCACTAAAATATTCAAAAATATATCTCTGATTAGCATTTTTCCAGCATTTAGTAGTGTGATTGATGTTGTAAATCTTTCATACAAAGATCTGTTCAACTCAGATAAATCTTTATTAAAAATAATCCTAACATTTTAATACATTGAAAGGGGGTAGTGTGTTCCCTTGGTGGTTCATCTCCCAGCAGCATTTTCTAGCCCTGGGACAGGAAAGGTATACATGCATCAGGTGAGAAAGTAGGAGGGGAGATGCAATTAAGTAATGGAAAATGCCATCTGTTACCTGGAGGTGATGTGACAGGAAAGATATGTGAAGAGTTGCTTCAATTTGTGTGGTTTCACTTTGACTAGCCAGGAAGAAGCATATCTATTTATGTGCATTAAGGTTGACTTTTCACCTTGCAGTTCTCTCATGCACACACTGGCAAGCAGAGGTGGGGTTATGGTCAAGAAACTAAAAAACATGGCTGTCTTGACACTGGCATTTCTCTTAAAAAACACGTGTGTACATACACAATCTCCAAAATGCACATGGGTTTCAGAAAAAAACCCTTAAAAAGCATCTCATTCTTGGTGTGTGTGTGTCTGGCTGAAGAAACAGCTCCCAATAACATCTGACTTGCATCAGTAACTCTGTCCTTCGCCCTAATGAGCTGTAGTTATTTTAAAAAGAAATCACACTAGGCTTGTGAGTGGTTTGAACTATCAGCTCAAAACAAGAGCTTCTCTTTCAGAACAAAACGTCCCCTTCACATCTCGTTCCACCCCACTGAGAGCAGAATGCAAGTGGAAAATTACCAGGAAACAGCCAATAGCAGGATTTAAATATGCACTATATGGCTGTAGCTTAAATTCAAGGCCACAGCATATCATCTTGAACCTGAATACAGACAGACATTGAAGAAGATGGTCCATGAATTCTGACTTGCTGCTGAGTCCCCATTCTAGTAGCCATGTGCAGATGAATTTCTCATTCATGGTGCCCAGGCTTGGTCCATGTGGTTGACCCAGATTTACTCTAAAAAACTTTGAAGTGGCAGTGAATCGTGGACACATAGGGATGAAGCCCTAGTGCAGGGTATCAGGTGGGCGGGGGTAGGGATGTAACTTGGCCCACTGATGTGCCCACTAAAAAGTGGTAAGAACTGTAAAAAATGGATGGCATAGTATCTTTAGGAGAGGGAACTGCATTTCAAGAACATTTTTCAAACAAGTTCAAATTTGCCCCACATTTCTACTATGGACCTGTGATTCACATTAAAGGTTAAGGCAACCTAAGTATATATATGGGGGCATATTCTATTCCAGGTATACATAATAGACATAGGTGCCTAAGTGCAATTCTACCCTGCTTAAATCCCTGGGACTCTGTTAATGCAAAAGGTGGATGAGTGTTCCTCCTCATTGTGTTTCTGTCAGATGAAAATGTGTTACAAAAGTAGATGCATTCATGGGTTTTCAAGACTCAAGCACTGTAAAATAGAATCACACTTAGGTGCCTAACTCTACTTTGCTGTTGAATAGATGGAATAGAATCTGGCCTTTGATTTTAAGGCACTTAGCAAAAACCCCAAGTGTTAAACAACAAAATATCCTACACTGGCACTGCTACCTTACTAAGATATTTTGCATTCACTCAGGTATCACAGATGTGTCATACATTATCTAAAGCAAGTGAAAAACCTCTGAGCTATACGTACTTGCAGATGTCTTCTTTAATGGATCTTTAATGGAAACAGTAGTGTATCCTCCCCAAACCTTTCACAGTCCCAGGAATATAGGACTGAATAGGGCCTCTGGCCATCAAAGGCCAGCCTCTTGCATTTTCAGGTGACTGCTTGTTCAGAGGTGTCCCTGAGAAACCCTTCTTGCCTACCAAGCCACAAAGCACCCAGTGAAGGTTTTGCAGGTGTGGACAGAGAGCAGATGGGACAAGGGTGTTAACAGAGCCTTGGCTACTGCAGTGGCAAGAATTTGCTAGGTAAAGTATACTGTGTGGGTTCCTAGGAAGCAAACTGCCCATGCTACAGATGTAGGCAAACAAACAAATGAAAAACAGGTTCACAGTCTCCTTCCTAACCCCAGATCTGGGGATTAGTCTGCCCCTAAGTGCAAGAGCAAGACCTGCTGCCCAGGAACCCAAATCAATGTCCCACCTTGACCCAGAGCAGGTATCTAATGTTTCAGAGGAAGGTGAAAAGAACCCAGAAGTCCATCAATGCATTAATGAAAAGGTAGAATGCCTGGACCCTGCAGGCAACCAGTGAAGCCTTGAAGCATGGGTTACCAGACACCTTTTAGAGTTGAGTTTGTTGGACCATTTTCTGTGTTAAAAATAATTCTTGCATATGAAAAAGGGACAGTCATTTCATATTAAATGACAACAGATACACATCTAGTTTCATACAACCATACTTTCATGACAGTAGCCTGTATAAAAGACTTCCCTTATTAGTACATTATATCTTGGAAATTGAAATATATCAAGTATATATTGGCTTCACTTTCTTTGAAAATCAGCTCCATCAAGCAATAGATTCTTGTCAGTTTCTAGTGTTTGCTTAATATGGCTTTCTGTGCATATATTACTACAATATAAACGATACATTTATTTTATACTTTCCACTGTTTCATGTAAGCAATATACTTGATGGATCATGGATTTCAAACCCTCAGAAATATCTTCCATAATATCTCCAAAGCACCCATAACCAACATACTTAGAAAGCAAATTGAAAGAGTTGTTTTGCAAGCTAGAGACAATGACAGAATTTTTAACAGAGATAAACTAAATATTATTGCAATATGCAATGCATCATTCCATATAAACTAATTTCCCTGAATGAGAAACTGAAGCTACTTTTCATTCTTTCTATTTCTTTAAATAAATTATTAAAAAGCATACCTCCTCCATGACTCTGGCAGAGATAAGGAAACCGCCATACATTTCCTAAACCCACACAAAAGCCTATGCAGGTTAACATATACTGAGCCTTGTTATCCCATTTCGGTCTTGAATCTGCTTCTTCTTTCTCAAGGATTTCTAGCTGTTCATGGGAAGGTATTCTATTTTCCAGGCCTGGATTAGGCAACTTTATCTTTACCATTATGTATGTCTTTTATCTTAAAATAATGCTCTGGACAAGAATGAACAGAGCAAGCAGCCAGTTATAGATCTGAATCAAAAGGGATCATCAAATGTTGGCTTCAGCTATATATAGTGAACCTTTGGCACTAAACCTGAAAGTGCAGACTTGTGGTAAAAAGAAGCGTCAGCAAATCATTTAATTAACCAAGTCAGCACTGATATTTATTAATGTCTTATCTGCCAAGGCTCCATGGAGCACTTTGTTCATTTTGTACAAGACATCAATACCAGTTGCTGCAATTCAGGAGGTAATTTGCTCTATAAATCTTAATCACCTACATGGTTGTGAAACACTTCTTGCCACTCCTCCTGTGTAAATTCAAGTACAATACATATTTTTCCCTATCAGGTGGAGAGTGAAAAGATTCCCATAGATTCAAAGCTAATAAGTATGTGTCCAACTTTTAATTTTTCCAGGTGAATGAATGTTATGTAAATCTGCTGCACATAATTTCCCCAAAAGCATATTTTTAACTCTTATTTTTACTTCCAAGTTCCCGTGAGTAGGATTTTGAACCAAGATATTTCTCTCTTTCTCTACTAGATGACATAAACTATTGAACAATCTACAGGAGGAGTGTGACAGGGACTTTAAGATCTGTATTGTTCTAAAAATGCTGTACATCTAATCACCACAAGATAAAGCCTCAAGAAAGGAAGTGCCTATTTATAAAAAGGTTTGAAGTCATAAAAATGCCTTATCTTTATTTATAATTTTATGGTATGTTGATAGCAAGTGGTTCTTTTTTATATTGACCAAAGGCACAAAAATCACAGTTTTCTCTCATTCTCAGCATGAGTTTAAACTGTGGTATCCAAGGCTACATCTGTACTGCAGACTTGTAAGTTATCATGCCCAGCAGTAGATCCCTCAAAGACTTTGCACTGCTCTGGGTAAGCAGCCCCCTGAACTGGATGCAATAGAGCCATGTCCACATAGTGCTCTGGGCAGCCTCGTTTGCCCAGGGGCAGGCTAAACCCAACAGTAGTGCTTCCTGGAGGGGACTACACTGTTTCCAATTCAGGAAGCAACCCACATGGAGCAGTGCAGTTTATATTAACAGTGTGACAGTAAGTTTAGCAAACAGACAGGGACATAGTCATTAATGTATGTAACTTGTCAAACATTGAGTTAGATAGCATGGCAGCACTCACAGTACACATGAACACTGCATAAATCAAATGTTTGATTTCATCCTAAAGTCCCCAGGTTCGGTATGGGAAATAAAGGACAGAGGACTGGAAAGACTTTCCAGGACAAATAGTCTCATCACCAGTTATCTCAGAAAAACACCCCATACAAACCCTTCTACTGGCCTGGTCAACTCCACCTTCAAATGAATTATGTTGCTTTGCCACCAGTACTTCTGCTGGAAGGCTAGGCAAGAGCCATGGGAATCTGCCATGCTTCATTTGTGCAGGGCTTTGGACTAGATAACCCAGGATATCCCTTCCAGCCATACTCTTCTGCTGTTAGAAGCTTTCTAACATCTCTCCTGAATTTAGTCATGGCCTGTTCTAACCCATTTATTCTTTACTTTACATAGCTTCCTTCCCAGCCTGGCTTTTATGCCACCAAAGTATCTATTTATCATCAGGTCTCCTCTTCGCTTTCATTTTGATAGGCTAAATCAGAGACGGGCAAAGTCCAGCCCATGGGCCAGATCTGGTCAGCAGTGGACTCTATTTCCCAGCTGCCCATGTGCATGGCTGGGGCCGGTCTCCATGGAGACCCCAGCTGCAGCTGCTCAGGAAAGCTCAAGGCTGGGTTTGCCATGGAGTAACCAGAGGCAGAGTAGGGCAGGGGGCTGCTCTGGAGCTGCTGGGAACTTACGATGTTGCCAGCTTGCTTCAGAATCAGGGCAAAGCCATGATCTGGGTAGAAAACAACAGAATGCAGTTCAACAAGGAGGAATGCAAAGTGCTGCACCTAGGGAGGAAAAATGTCCAGCACACCTACAGCCTAGGGAATGACGTGCTGGGTGGCACGGAAGTAGAAAGGGATCTTGGAGTCCTAGTGGACTCCAAGATGAACATGAGTCGGCAGTGTGACGAAGCCATCAAAAAAGCCAATGGCACTTTATCGTGCATCAGCAGATGCATGACGAATAGGTCCAAGGAGGTGATACTTCCCCTCTATCGAGCACTGGTCAGACCGCAGTTGGAGTACTGCGTGCAATTCTGGGCGCCGCACTTCAAGAGGGATGCGGATAACCTGGAGAGGGTCCAGAGAAGGGCCACTCGTATGGTTAAGGGCCTACAGACCAAGCCTTACAAGGAGAGACTAGAGAAACTGGATCTATTCAGCCTCCGCAAGAGAAGGTTGAGAGGCGACCTTGTGGCTGCCTATAAGTTCATCACGGGGGCACAGAAGGGAATTGGTGAGTATTTATTCACCAAGGCGCCCCCGGGGGTTACAAGAAATAATGGCCACAAGCTAGCAGAGAGCAGATTTAGATTGGACATTAGGAAGAACTTCTTCACAGTTCGAGTGGCCAAGGTCTGGAACGGGCTCCCAAGGGAGGTGGTGCTCTCCCCTACCCTGGGAGTCTTCAAGAGGAGGTTAGATGAGTATCTAGCGGGGGTCATCTAGACCCAGCACTTTCCTGCCTATGCCATGCTCCAGGCAGGGGCACACAAGCGGGGGATCATGGCTGTGCCCCGGCTCCAGACTAGGCTGTTACCACTGCAAGGAGCTGGGGCACAGCTGTGATCCCCTGCTTGTGCACCCCTGCCCAGAGTGTGCAGGCTACAGATCACGGCTCTGGCCTGGCTCTGGAACAAGCTGCCCCCATTGCAAGATCCCAGCAACTCCAGAGCAGCCCCCTGCCCTGCTCTGCCACGTGCGCTGCCAGTGCGGCTGCGGCTGGTCTCCATGGCAACTCCAGCCTTGAGCTTTCCTGCGCAACTGTGACTGGGGTCTCCATGGAGACCAGCCCTAGCCATGCAGGCAGGGGCTACTGGGAAATGGAGTCCGGCTACTGGCCGGATCGGCCATTTTGCTCACCTGTGGGCTAAAAGAAACAATGGGTGGTTATGTTATACTAGTCCTCATGTATGCATCAGAATGCTGGACAATATCACCAAGTATGGAACAGAGAATTGAAGCAACTGAGATGTGGTCCTTAAGGCGCATCTTGAAGGTGTGGTGAGCATGTTTGTTATTACCCTGAAATAAAATAGTTTTCTGATAGCATACTGTTAGGTTAACAATAATTTAGATTATTAAGAAGTATTAGCTTTGCAGCTGAATACAAGGCATGACCTGTGGCCTAGCAATGCCGCTGACCACAAGGCAGAATGTGCTTTGCTTATGTTAAGTAATCATTTTAACTGTGTTAACCATTTTCTGAGTAAAATGCAGCAAGTGAATCTGTCTGTGTGCTGTAAAATCAGCTACAGCAAGAAACAAGATAAGACAAAGAAGCCATTGTTCTAAGTACAGTGATCGTGTCCTTAAGAAGTATCTACTACTGTGCAAGTTTTTGCTAAC